CCCAATTCCCCAGAGCTGTTCCCATCCCCCCAATTCCCCAATAAAAAACAAAAAATCTTTAAAAAAAAAAAGATTTAAAAAAAGAAAAGTTCTAAATTCTGTTGACACAGGATTTTTTTTAAAAAAGTGTTGGCAAAAGCAATGATAACTTTTGCATTTACATAAATCTTTACATGTTTAAACATCTTGGGTACATTATAAAAATCTTTACATGTTCAAACATTTTGGATACATTATTTCATGAAACATTTAACTGCAACTATGAGTTAAGTGGTTTTAAAAAATAAAATAGTTGCTAGTTGGTGGGACCTCAGATGTCATACCCAGCACAAAATGGGTGGCAACTACTCAGTAATAGCAAAGATGGCTAAATTGAATCTGCTTATATCTAAACTTCAATAAAACCCAAGCAAAGTGCATGAAAATTTATTCCTCACTTTATGACTCCGAAATATAGAGCAGTAATTCTCAAATCTATTTTTTATATCAAATCCCTACTGAGATGGCAAAAAAGAATTTTAAAAAAATCCCCAAATTTTACAATGTATTTTTTTTTTAAGTAACATGCTGGAATCAACAATCTACTTATCTACTTATTCAAAAGGAACCACCCACCTGTTTTCTTAAAAAATTTAGTATTTTTGCTGGTTGAGAAACAATGTTGTTTTCAGTTGTCAAAATTGGTACATCTCCTATAATCAGAAAACAGTTTACATACAACGAAACATTTCGATTTTCTCTGAAAATAATCCAATACCCGAAAAACTATGCCAATTGCACATTTGGAGGGGAAAAAATGAGTAAACTCCTCTTAGATTTTTGCAATTTAACAAAGAGCAGTCCTAGAGAACATTTTCATTTCTCATAATTTCCAATGATTTGGCTTGCACTTTTAAGTATTACTCAGAATGATCAAACCATAAGCAACAGACAGCCAAGGTCGTGGTAAAAAGAAACTGAAATCCCAAGGTACTCCATGGCTATATGCCTCAGAGCTTTAAAGGGGTTAGGGGGGAGGCGCTTAAAGAGGGCAGAAGGGCTGTTTAAAGTTTACACTGTACCTCTCGAACCTCTCCAGGTGGTATCTATGACATTGACTTTCAAGGGTGCACCAGAAAATTTGGCGTAAGCCTGAAATAGAGTTTGCAATAAAACATTTTAGACCGAGTACGTAATGCAAATCTGCTGAGCTGCTTTACTTCACAGCCCAGTTCCCCAAGGCAAAGATGCCTGACCCGGGGACCGGGTCCCTTCCCCAATCTCTAACTTGGGGGAGTGCGCACGCGCCCGCTACCCAGCTTTTGGGAACCTTGTTCCTCAAAGGATCCCGGGGATGCCGAGTGGGGCGCGCACGCCCCCTACTTTGTGCTTTCACTCCACTGCCCGGATTATCTTTGCAAGGAGGAGAGTAACTTGGAGCTAAGAGAAGAAGCCATAGGTCTCCCGCCAGGTCTCGCTGGAGTCACAGGCCAGGTTATAACTCATCCGTCGACTGCAGGGAGCCCAGGGCGGTGCAGGGAACACGCCCGGGCCAGCCTAGGCCCGGCAGCGCCGCGGGAACCGCTGCAAGCTGCCCGTACCCGACCTGGCAGGCCTCTCGCCTCTGGCCCCGCCCCTTGTTTCCCGCGCCCTGGCCCGCGAGGCGGCCTCACCATCACCACCAAGGACTCGCTGTGTACAGATGGGAGCCCCCAGCCGCCTCCCCAGCAACTAAGCTCCAAGGGGGCCGCCATCTTGCCGGGGCCGACCTTTGCTATCCCGGAAGTACTTTTGCCGCCCAATTTCCGGCAGGTGGAAACGAGGGGCGGGGCTAGAGAAGGGAAGGGTACCTTGGGACTCTGCAGAGATGCAGAAACGATCCTGTAGTGGTTTAAAAACACGCTTAGAATCAGCTTGACCTAGGGCTTAGGAGTCCTGGGCTTTAAGTCAGACCCACCAGTTATTCCTCAAATATTTATTGGATGTCTAATGTATCCCAAACCCTTTCATATTACTACCCTGGGCCTAAACTAACCTGTCTGTAAAATAGGTATGACAGTTTATTGCAAGATGTTGTGACTGTTTAAAATTATGACATGGGGGGAAAGAACTTGGCATACAGTAGGCACTTAATAATTGTTCAGCCCCATCTTCCATATAGTATTTGGTCTCTGCCTCTTTCCACTCTCAAGCTCAGTTGCCATCCTCATCTTAACTTGCTCCACCCTCCTTGGAAGTAATTCTGTTCCTGCAATTTGTCAAGTGATTTTTACCTTCCTTCAGTATGAAATCTTTCTTCCTGGCCACTGCTTCCTCAAAATTGAACTAAACTGTCACCTTCCCTGGGACAATTTTTCAAAGTAAGGGACTTCTTGGTTCTTGCAGCCCCTTGTACATACTTGAATTGTAGCTACTATCCCTAGATACAGACCTTTTGCCTTTCACTACAGGAAGCTCTTTGAAGACAGAACAAAGCTGGCTTCATAGAAGTGAGACCAGTCACGCAGGGACCTGTCCTTAAAAGGGCCCACGCTTACCTTACTTTTCTGCTGTCATCATCTTGAAATTCTTAATAATTTTTGAAAAAGTCCCACGTTTTTATTTTCTACTGGGCCCTGCAAATCACATAGCCAGTCATGCCTATGGGCCTGATGGGCATGAACTAAATGTTTCTTGAACATCAAACTGACAATTTGTCAGAAAAACTGATAAAGAGAAAATATAGGCCTTGGGAATGTCATATCCTAAAATGGTTACAGGGTCCTGGAGTTAGGACTTGGGTGCTGGATCTTTTTTCTAGAAGGCACAGTAGTCTTTCTGAGATACCCTCCCAGTCATTCCTCTGAGTTTTTCCTTTCCTGTGCCCCACTGAGTTAGATGGGTCTCCTTCAACAACTGAGAGCTAAAACCCTCTGTAAATTTTCATAAAGTTACAATTCAACAAATAATTGTTAGGCAGTCCCTTTCTATAGCCATCTAAATTATAGTGTCATTCTGCTAAAGTCTTTTGTCATGTTTCAAAGGCAAGAGTTCTCAGAAATGGGAAGGAAAAGTATGTCAAAGGTGGGACTCCATTAATAGTACTGTATAACCGGGAAATGTTTAACATATGTCCCATTAAAACTAAATATCAAAGCATGTCGAGCAACTACTCTGTCCAACTCACTGTAAAGCTCTGAGAGAATACAGGCATAAGTAAGGCAAATTCTATCCTCAGGAGTTTATGGTCTACAAAGGAGACATACAACTAGGTGTAACAAGTCAGATTATCATGAGTAAAGTTAGAGATATAAATAAAATTCTATGGAAGCACACAACAGGAATGATGTATCCTCTGTGGGATTAGTGGAGGCTGACTGTTCAGTCTTACATATAAAGAAGGTAATTCAACTTTCAGATTCAAGTAGTGGGGCCTCCCTGTTTTGAGGGTTAAAATTCCAAGCCATAAAGCTCAGAGTCCATATTACCTCAATTGGGCATTTTAAATAATCATACACAGCAAGTGTGGATGACCTGAGTCTTGTTTGTAGGGTGGACAGGGGTGGGAGTACATGACATTCTTTGTGGACACATAATTCCTTCATTCAGCCTTCTTCCTTATTGCTGCTCTTACATTTGGCAATTTCATTTGCATTAAAGAGAAATTAAATCTCCTCACACTGAAGTAAGACAGAGAATAACATGCTATTGCATTTGATGAGAGGATCCTTCTCACAGGTTTATTTGTGCCTATTTAATAGTAGTCTTTTATTGCTGCAATTCCTCTTAAGAGCCTGTATTTTCTAGCTTGAATTTTAAAACTCTAGCGTAACTGATTTCACAACCAGGCAGAATATTGTTTCAGAGAACCACACAGAAAGCTGAAACCTTCAGGAATTATGCCTGGTATGGGTAACTTGCCCCTGTGCCTTTTTCTGGCTCCTAAAGAGTATTGTTCAGAGTTCATCAAAATCATAATTGCAGATTCCTACCAGGAAACATACTATGTGCAAAACATTCACGTATGTGTGGGATGAACTGAATCACAGCTTTTTAATGAGTATTCCAGACAATGTTTTCCCTGAAGAAGAAATATTATCTTTCAAAAGATGGACATTAAAAATGACTTCATGTAGTGATAGTCATCTGAACTCAGGGGACCTGACCTTGGCATCCATTCCTATCCCTCACATGTTTCTTAACTTGAGGGCCATGGTGCAGGTTCTATTAAAATCTTTTTGTCTGGGTGATTTTGATTCTGTGAAATGGTGCTGTAAGCAAAGATGAAAGGTTTGTGATAAGTGATCATATAGCATGATCACTTATGGGAAAGTTGAACTAGAGAGTTTTGAATATCCCTTTTAATTCTAATCTTCTATAATCCAATTTTATGTTCAGATATAGAATCCTTGAGGAGGAAAAAATAAACACTGAATAGAAGTCACAGGAGAGCTGGTTTCCTGACTTTGCCTCTAATTAACCAATTATTTTATCTTTATTCCTCAACTTATTCAATTATAAAGCAAAGATTCTTCTAGCTCTGAATACTAGCATTCTGTGACATTCATGGAGTAATTTTTACCTGCCCAAATTGTTTAAAGTACCTAACATATTATAACTCATTGGCTCTTTATAATGACTCCATGTGGTAGGTATTGTTATGTTCCTGTATTTTCAGGGTGGGAAATTAAGGCACAATTATGTTGATTAACCTTCCCAAGGTCACCTAGCCAATAGGTGATTGAGCCAGGATTTGAACCCAGGTAGTCAGGGCGTATACTCTTAACCACTATGTCATACTGTCTATAGCCTTCTAAGTAATCCATTCAAAATCCTGGTTTTGCTCAAACCAGAGTTATTAATGTCATGATATTGCCATTAATATTTGTTTCAATAGTATTTGTTTAGCATTAAGCCATTAACAAGTTCGTTGAGTAACTTCTGTGTGTTCACCACAATGCTAGGCTGTCAGGGAACAAAAACTTAGATTCGTGCTTTCAGAGGGATAGTTGATAAAACAAGGTCTACATATTTGATGACTAAGAAATACCATTTTGTCAAGCAGACTGCAAATCTAGGGTGATCTTAGACAAAGGCTTTAATGTACTGCAATGCTTGGCAAAGGCCTAATGGAAGAATTAGGACTGTAGGTGCCCTTGAAGGATAGGTATATTGGATTTGGATTGGCACAGAGGAAGACATTCCACACGGGCTATGCTACATGAGGCAAAGCATAGAGATGGGAATGACGATGTAAAAAATCAGAAGACGAGTACATGACTGCTGGATTCAATAAGAGACTGTTCAGAAAGAGTGTTCATTCACTAACTTGAGAAATGTAATTAGTATTATTGGAAAGCATGGGGATATGGAGTTTTGAAGAGGCAAAAAAGAAGAGTAAAAGCCTGAATACCATATTAATGGATTCACTTTGTCATGGATGGAAGGTGAAATGCTATTGTTGCATAGACACCGTAGGAGGAAGAGTTTTATGAACCCATAAATTGTACTAAATAAAGCAAAATGTGGAAAATGCAGTGAAGCAATGCTGCTGAATATTATTAGAAGTCACCTGGCATCTTTGCATCAAGCATTTTTCATGGAATCGGTTGTTGAAATCAAATTACAGGGAATTAATGAAGAAATTGGTATTAGGAATATGGGCAGGTATAAGATCATGAGGAATATGACACAGATACAGGAAGGAAAGAAGCAGAAGACTGAAAGTTTTTGAAGAAGATGACATGGTGAATCTACATACATATGAAGACAAAATTGGCAACTAGCGAGCAAAAGCCTTAAGATGCCAGAGAGAAGAGGGATGGGGTCCTAGGAAATACTCTGAGAGAGGCTGAACTCAGTAGCTTGAGCAGTGGAGCTGGCATTGAAAATGAGCGCTTTCTCTCCGACACTGGAGGAAATTTCAAGAGGAGCACGGGATGCTGAGTTAGCTCAAATCAGTTACCTTCAGATTTTCCTGTTACATTAGGAAAAAATCAAAAGAGCCTGAGAGAAAGAGATTTGGGATTTGAAAAGAGAGAGAACAATTTAGAGAATGTACCAAGGAGTTAGTAAAAAGTGAATGGAAGAATTGCTGACAGTGGCAAAGGTTAAATTTAAATTAGTTTGAAGGAGATAAATCAAGTGAGAGCCATGGGCAGGCTAATGATTAGGTGCCCTTTCAAACATATATTCTTTAAATATTTATTCAACCTTTTCTTTTTTTAATGGACATGAAGTTAGCTAGAGAATGTAACAGGATTAATTTCTATTTTACCAAGTCTGTCTGTTAGAAGTCCTATGTGGAGACCTGGGTTTAGTCTCTCTTAATGTTTGGTTCTAGGGATGATGGAAAGAAGAGGAAGGAGGGAATCCTAGGACTTGCCCTAGGAATTGAAAGAAGATGGAATCTATAGTTTTAACAGTGGGGCTCAGCCATCTTTAAGTCTAGCTAAGATAGCACAGCGTGTGCCTTTCACCAATGGTATTTTGTTGCCCAGAAGTTTAAGTGAGGAGCCAGGTTCATATATTCATTTAGTATCACGGTTATCAGACAGTGATATATATTGAAAGGGATTCATTCTGCTTCTCCAGTGTAGTCAACTTTTTGTCTGTTTTATATTAAAAAGAATTAAATGAAACAAAAATAATATTATTTGGCATAGTGGTCAATTTATGTAGAAACAGGAGGATTCTGTTTTAAAAGTGGGAAAGGGTCCTAAAAGGAAATAAGGTTTCTATGCTTCATTTAAAGTTATAAAACATCATAAACCAGCAGACTGTAATAAG